AGTAGATTATCGACTTTTCGGGGAAGCAGATTGTCGACTCTTGGGAAAAATTGCCTAATTTTATGAATTAGATTATCAGAAAAACGGAAATTATCAAGAAAATGGGATATATCTACTTTCAAAGAGGTTATCTATCATAGAAAACGGAAATTTGTACTTATAGAAATGGGAAATATCTACTTTCCGGGAAAGTTGGTTATTCATTTTCCTGAAAGTGAGGTTTTCATTTTCGAAAGTAGATTATCGACTTTTCGGGGAAGCTTATTGTTCATTTTGTGAAAAAATTTAATTTTATGAATTAGATTATCATAGAAAAACGGAAATTTGCCATAGAAAATGGATATATCTTCTGGGAAAGTTGTTATTTACTTATCATAGAAAACGGAAATTTGTATTATAAAATGAAATATCTACTTTCCGAAAGTTGTTTTCCGGAAAGTGATTATCTACTTTTCGTGAAAGTAGATTATCGAGCTTTCGGTGAAGAGATTGTCGACTTTTGGGAAAAAAATTGCCTAATTTTGCAAAGCAGATTATCACAGAAAAACGGAAATTTGTATCATAAAAATGGGGAAATATCTACTTTCCGAAAGTTGGTTATCTACTCTCCGAAAAGTAGATTATCTACTTTTCGTGAAAAGATTATCGAGTTTTCGGGGAAGTAGATTATCGACTTTTGGGAAAAATATCTAATTTTGCGAATTAGATTATCGGAGAAAACGGAAATTGCATCACAGAAGATGGGATATATCTACTTTGGGAAAGTTGGTTATCTACTTATCATAGAAAACGGGAAATTTGTATTATAGAAAATGGGGAAATATTTACTTTCCGGGAAAGTTGTTATCTACTTCTCTTGAAAAAGTAGATTATTTATTTTTCGTGAAAGTAGATTATCGAATTTTCAGTGAAGCAGATTGTCGACTTTGGGAAAAATTGCCTAATTTTGCAAAGTAGATTATCATAGAAACGAAATTTGTATCATAAAATGGGAAAATATCTACTTTCCGGAAAGTTGGTTATTCACTTTCCGAAAAGTAGATTATCTACTTTTTCGGAAAGTAGGTATCGCGTTTTTCGAGGAAGTAGATTATCGACTTTCTGGGAAATATTAACTTAATTTTGGCAAGTAGATTATATAGAAACGGAAATTCAGAATATAAAATGGGAAATCCACTTTCCGGGAAAGTTGGTTATTACTTTCCTGAAAGTAGATTATCTATTTTTTCAGAAGTAGATTATCGAGTTTTCGGTGAAGCAGATTGTCGACTTTTGTTTTAAACGGGAAATTTGTAAAAAATGGGGAATATTTATTTCCGAAAGTTGTTATCTACTCTCCGAAAGTAGATTATTTACTCTTTCGTGAAAGCAGATTACGACTCTTCTGAAATATTACCAATTTGGGAATTTGTATCATAAAAACTGGGAAATATTTATTTCCGAAAGTATTATCTACTTTCCCGGAAAGTAGATATTTCATTTTTTATGATACAAATTTCTGTTTCTATGATAATCCACTTTGCAAAATTAGGCAATTTTTCCCAAAAAGTCGACATCTGTTTCACCGAAAATCTCGATAATCTACTTTCATTTAAGTATAATCTACTTTTCGGGAAAGTAGATAACCAACTTTCCTGAAAGAGATATTTCATTTTCTATAATACAAATTTCCTGTTTCTATGATAAGTAGATAACCAACTGCAGAGTATATCCCATTTTCTGTGATATAAATTTCGTTTTGATAATCTAATTGCAAAATTGCAATTTTTCCCAAAAAAAGTCGATATTAATTCTTTTCCGAAAAGTTCATAATCTACTTTCCGTGTAGAAAATTCACTTTTTCAGGTAGATAACCAACTTTCCGGAAAGTAGATATTTCATTTTTATGATACAAATTTCCTGTTTTATGATAAATTATTGCTGGCCTCTGGTAATATTTCCAAAAGTCGATACTTACTTCCTGAAAACTCGATAATCCATTTTCCTCAGTAGAAAATCTACTTTTCAGGAAGTAGATAACCAACTTTCCCGGAAAGTAGATATTTCATTTTCTGAGATACAAATTTCGTTTTATGATAATCTACTTTGCAAAATTAGTAATATTTCCAAAAGTCGATAATCTACTTCCCCGAAAACTCGATAATTCACTTTCCTGAAAAGTAGATTTTTCATTTTCGGGAAAGATTATCGACTTTTC